GGGCAGTTGATGAACCCCACGTGTGAGTCACGGGAGGGTGCGCTGAGAGACGCAGCCGGTCACGTCACGCTACGCTTCTGCCAGCGTTACGCGACGTGACCTTATGAACCCTGCCGCGGCGACGTTTTCGTAATTGCTACGCGTGAGGTCGCTGAGGTCACGGTGATGGTGATTATGATGGATGTAGATTGATGTTAAGAGTAGTGAATGTAAAAACACTGGTGGATAGATGACACGCTGGTGAAAAATTGTGGGTTTTTAATGGCGGAAAATCCTTTGCGCGCCTTCTTCGAAAGGGAAGTAAAGTTGGCTGTCCCATGTTGTGGACTGTAAAGAACGTTCAATACAAGTAAAATTCTAAACGTCTGTTTCGTCGTCAGAGTGATACTCTCTTTCGCTGGTAGATGGCGAAAGTAGCATAGCGAAATTTACTTCATCAGGTGGAAGGGCAGGTCTCATGTTCAAAGCATTGTCATTTAAAATTAGACACAATGGACTTGAATTCAATTAATTGGAATTCAGTAAACTTTGCTGTCAAAATTGCAAGAATACCACCAGTAAAATCTACAAAGTAACTTAAATGATTCTAGTAATGACGTTAGTAAGTAACGGTGTAGTTGGCAGCCGAAATAGAACACATTACTTTTTCTTCGGGATTCGCGATCTGCTCAGAGTTCCGCGAACTGCTGTTCCGCGAACTTATGTAATTTATGTACATGAGGTCGATGTTGTGTGATGCCGTATAAACGCTGATCCCGTTGGATGTACTTGAGAGTTTAGTTATACGGATATACAATACTGATGGAAACATCACAATTGTTTGTAGATCGTAATGATAACTACCAGAATATGCGGTAGGCGTCAAATTAGGTCATTTCAGTTGTAACAAAAGTAATGCCTAATTTTTTAGCCACCAAGTCAAATCATAAAATGCTTTATTGCACAGCTACATTTCAGCATGCATTTAATTTCAGCATGTTTCAGCATAAATGTTACAAACACCCAGGGCATGAGGTAGTTGAAGATATTATTTTTTTGCCAATGAACATGTAAATGGAAGTCCTAAACGAAGTTACACATGTTACGTGCTTCCGCTAGTATTTGGCAAAACCCGAAATTTTCACTGAGTCAGAACAGACCGGAAAAATGTACACTTACGGAAATAATTGTTGACCAGTCGACCATGGGATCAGCTGACTCCCCCGGAAGCCATAATAAATCAATCTATCCGATCGTGAAGGAACTTGTTCGTTTATTAACGTCACCGTAGTTCATTTAAGTTCCCCACCCTAAGCCGAGGATGCGGATCAGGACGGGAGTGGTTCGTGCCGGATCAGTTTAGTGCTGCATTGTTGCCGGCACCGTTGACAAACGCCATGCTTTACTAATGATATAAACCAATACGTTTCCCTCATTTACGATTTCTAGCGGATCGTGAAGGAATATTTACGTTTATTAACTCGGTTCGTTATAGTATCTGCCTTCCTAGGCAGAGGAAGCCGTACGGAGCAGGAGGGGTTCGTTCCGGATTAGCCCACCGCCGCGTTGTTGTCGCTACAGTTGACGAACGCCGTGGAGACGCCCCGAGAGGGACGCCTCTTAGGGTCAAGGCCACTGCGCCCTCGGCGGGTCGCGGCTCTCCCCGGCCACCTGGAAAGGTCGCGCGCTCGGCCGCTCGCGGCCTGCACAAAGCCTTCCCTCCCTCTCCCCTCCTTCTTCGCCACCCTTTCCCTTCCCACCCTCCCGGACAGCGGCCGGCCGCCTATGACGTCACGCTCGGGGCGGCGCGCTGACCGCGAAGCGCCTGGCGACCCCCGGCGACCCGCTCGACGCACCTGTGCGGCGGGTGGCCGCACGTGCCGGCCGGCAGGGGCATGTGGTCGACCGGCTGTGGCGGATGGGTTTTCTAAGCCGGTGGTGACGGTGTGGCTGATTTTTTTTTTGGCTGGAATTTCGGTCGGTCGACGTCCGACAGTTTAGTATGATGATCCGGATTTGTTAAAGAAATGACTGGTGAAAGGAAATTGTCGTTGTGAACCTGAACGGACTTTTCGTACAGTGCCCGTAATAATCGAGTCTCAGACTATTAGGTTTACTTTCAGTTCCATTCGCTTGAAATCAGAAAGGAATTGAACACTATCTGCAATACATATACACTACTGCTTTACGTAGATGTTTAAAAACATGGCTTGTGAAATTGCGGGTATTTTTGATTTTGGATGTAACTTTTGGATGTTTTATGGATGAAATAATTTCGGCATCAGTGTTCTAGTAAGTTCTTAATAACGAATTAGATATATTTCTGCAGGGTCTTGGCGATAGACGTAAAGGTAAGGATGTGGACATGCTTTCAATGTGATGTAAGTGACAGTGATGATTAATGATAATGAGTATCAGTTCGCGGGTGAGGATTGGGGGGAACTTATTCTTTTATCTACTGACCTGATAAGTGAGGTTTTGTCTTAAGCCTAGATACCCTTATCTTTACATGACAGTGGTGAACCGGCTGAGTTCGCTTAGATTTTAACACTACGGCTGTCGCGACTCTGACTGGGAAGCTATTGGATTCGAGTGCCGAAGGGGGCACAATTTTCGACACTAGCTAGATAGCGAATTCAGCCGTGTAAAGGCAATGCAATTCTGCCTGTGGAATCCAAAAATTCTGGCCATGTGATTGATCGACAGGCCGTGGATTTCGAACTGGAATGTACGGGGTGTGTAATCGTTGTCATGATCGATTAAATATACAACAGGAATCCGTAGATTATTAAATGGTTGTAGATGGAATGATTTACACTGTACTAGAAATGATTGTTGAGTTGAAGTAGTAAGTTTTTATTCGTATTATTGACTATGCACGCTTCAAAGTACAGTATTTCTCATCTTCAGGCTGAAAAGTAAGGTTTAATCACAGACTTTTCAATCACACAGATTAAAAGGATACAGAAAACAAAGACAAGATCATACATA